TTGAGTATCCAGACCCCTCGTTTAACTGTCCACTTGTATCCCTGTCCCATGCTATCACTTGTTTCTTCCAGTCTCTCTAGGGTTCTTTGATGACATTCTCATCCCCCCAGAATCGCTGCAGCAGCCAGCCAAGTTGTATCCTCCCCAGTTAAAGCGGGTCACAGAGGCGCTCAGGCCTCACTCCTGGGGGTGGCCCTGGTCCTGTGACCGGATGCTGTGGCCTCCATGCCCAGCCCTCCCTCCTGCACTTAGGCCTGTGCTTCCCACACTGGCCTGGTGTCCACGTGCCTGGGCCTCTCTGGGCCGTCAGGTCTGGTTGTGTAGGTTGTACACAGTAGGCAGGGTACTTCCACTTCCGGTTCACTTGGCTTAGATGGTCCCTGCAGGAATCATCTCCAAGATCATGTCCCTTGAGAGGTTTGCCTTGACTGGCTCACCTCCTCTCCTCCCTGGTCTGCAAGTGGCGGCATCAGCATTTGAGGGCGTGACTGTGAGGGTCCTGGCATGGTTGCTTCCCTCTGCTGGTCTCTCCCATTGTCCCTGTCCCAGCCCTGAGCCTGCCGCACTGGAACTGTCTGTTTCTGTGCATCCTCACCGCAGCTACTCACTGGGAGGGGCCCCATCCTATCACGACTGTACCCAGAATGCCCAGCACAGGACCTGGCACACGGGAGGCGAGGCAGGACCCGCTGCCGGGGCTGCAGCTAGAGAGCAGCGTGGCTCCCCAGTGTGGGCTCTACAGCGACCAGGGGCCGCCCTCGCTGGTTTGGCAGATGGCTCTGGCTGGGCCTGCGCAGGACTGGGGGCAGGGTCTATGGGATTCCAGAACTTGTCAGAAAGCCTGGCCCAGCCGGGCTTATTTTCTCTACAGCTGTGAGCCCTCAGGCATGTGACCTCCCATCCCAACAACGTCCTTTTGAAAACTGGGAAAGGCCTCCTGCTGCCTGCTGGTCAGTGTCACAAGGTGTGGCTGGAAAGGAATGTGGGATCGCACAGGTGGCCTTAGCTAATACCAGAGGGCCAGCCTGGTGTGTGTGTGCTGTTGTATTCCCTCTGCATGGCCCTGTGAGGGTGGGCCTTGCTGCTCCAGTCCGCTTTACTGATGGGGCCCCTGAGGCCCTGAGGGGCTGGGGCTGACCCCCGGTCATAGCTGGCGGGTAGTGGAGCTGATGTCTGCACTTGGCAGTGGGCCTCTGAGAGGACCTATAGGCGGAGTCAGACCCAGCAGGGAGGGGAGCCTGGGCAGCAAGAGGCCGTGGCGAGGCCGTGGCATTCCCATCTTGAGGCAAACGCATGCTCTGCTCTCGAGCCTCCTTCCTGCTTTCATGACCTGAGGAAACCTGTGGGTGCCTGGCCAGGGCCCCCGTGGTCCCAGCCTGGGTCTTCTACGGCCCAGACCTGGCCCAACCTCACTTCTTGCACATGGAGCTGGGCCTGCTTTTCCTGACTTCCCATCCAAAGTGATTGGATTTTGCCGAGGGGTGGGCGCTGTGGGAAGAACCCCCAGTCCTCAGGAGCTCCCCCATGGCCTGGCTTTTGCCTTGACCTGGGTCCCACCCAGCGACGACGCAGAGCAGGTGTGGGTGTGGGAGTACGAGACAGAGGAAGGAGCACACGACCTGTACATGGACACCGGGGAGGAGATCCGCTTCCGGGTGGTGGACGAGAGCTTTGTGGACACGTCCCCCAGCGGGCCCAGCTCGGCCGAGGCCGCCTCTTCCAGTGAGGAGCTGCCAAAGAAGGAGGCTCCGTACACACTTGTGGTGAGATGTCCTGATGTGCTGCCGAAACCATGGGGACAGTGATGGGAGAACCCAGCTGCGGGAGGGCAGGGCCCCTCCTTGCCTGTTGACGTGGGTTCCACTCCTAGAACCCCGTCCCAGGTCAGGGTGCAGGTCCTTGCTGTGTGATCTGGGGCAGTTGGTTCTCCCTGGGACCCTCCTTGTGGTGAGGGGATAAAGCTGCCAAGGCTGTTGTGGAGGGTGGGTGAGTCACACTTCTGCCCAAAAGAGAGGGACAGAACCCAATCTGGATGACAAGGCGGCTGCTAATGGGCCTAAGGACGAAGAAACTGAGGAGGGAGCTTGGGAGCCAGTCAAAGCCCCAAGAGCAAGGGTGTGGCTCCAGGGCGGGGTGACCCTCAGGGCTGCTCCACCAAACCCAGTGCCACCTGACGTGGTGGGGAGGCTGCGAGCCGCCAGCTCCGACTGGGGTTCCTTTTGTCTTTTACTCTTATGAACTCAGTGACACACGACAAAAGGGGGGCTTTGGGGCCTCCTAGTAGGGTTTTCTGGTGTAATGTGGGCTGCAGGTTATTCACTTTGGAGGCAGTTGTGTGCCAGAAACGGGTGGCCCAGGACATCCCCCACACATACATTTGGTGGCTGAGGCTCAGGGTCACTAGGGAGGCCCTTCTGGCAGTACGAGACCACAGGTGGCTCTGGAGGGCATGCTCAGGACTGGCCTGGGGGTGAGGGAGGGTACCTGACCCTGCTGAGGCCTTGGGGCCAAGACGGGAACCTGGCTGTGTGCTCACGTGTGCCAGCTGCGTGCCCAGCACAAAGCGCTCCTTTTGCCTCCTGAGTTGGCTCACGCCCCGCAGGTGGATGAAATGTACCTGTTCTCTCCCCTGGCAGGGATCCATTAGTGAGCCGGGCCTGGGCCTTCTCTCCTGGTGGACGAGCAGCTAGCCCGGGGCCTGCCAGCAGACCTGCCCAGTCCGCAGACCCTGCCCCAGGCCTCCGAAAGGTGCCGTGAAGACAGCAGCAGCCCCGCAGCTGCCAAGGAACAGCCTGTGCCCCAAGGAGCTGGACGGCGGGAGCCAGGAGTGCCCTGCCAGCTTGCCCCCTCCCCCGCCACGTTGGCCTTGCTCCTCTTCCTCAAGTCCTGCTCTTAGTGACACAGCAAAGACATTTAATAAACAATGGCAGCACCGGTTGAGGAGCCACTCCTGTCTCAATGGCCGTCGTCATGACCTAAGGTCACCGGGTTGCCACAGCTGGGGTAGCATGTCCTTCCTCCCTCCGAATCACTTGTGACGATGCCCTCCCCCAAATGGCAGGACTTGACACAGAGCAGAGCGAGAGGCTGGCCTGGGGTGGCTGCCCCTTGCTGAGAAGAGTGTTAAGGTAGCATCTTTCTTCCCACTGACTAGCCTGTGGGCTTTGCTGGCCCAGGGTGAGGGCTGGTGGCCAGCTGTCACTCAGACCTTGGCCACACCGGGAACACCCTGTGGGTCTGCTGCAGACCCCAGAACCAGCATGAAGGCCAGCACCCCATTGCTGATTCAGCAGAATGGCACTGCCAGGTTCCTCCTGCCCTTTTATTCACTTCTGCTGAGACCAGTACCCTGGTTCCCTAGTCAGTCTTGTCTTGGTGAAGGGGCCCCCTTCAGAATGGCGCCTGCCCTGGCCTCTGGCTCACACATGGCACCAGAGCATGTGCCAGCAGGGTGGCTCCAGGAGGGGGGAGCAGCTGCGGAATGGTGCCTACCGCTGCCTCGTGCCGAGGGGCGGGGGACGGTGTGCCTTGTGGACTAGCTATGACCTTGGACAGGGTGGCCTGTGTGGAAGAGGGGGGCTGAGCCCACCTGTTTGGAGGACTGAATCAATGCCCAGAGAAAGGGGAGCCCCCCCCCCCCCCCGCAGGAGGCTCCATGTTGGGCCCAGCTCCCGGCCTACCAGGAAGCTGCTGGGATTGGGGGCGGTGGGGGGTAGGGGAGACTGCCCTGTAGGCAGAGGTGAGTTAGGGCAGGGAAGGGGCTAAGCTGTGGGAAATCAGCCAGCCCACGTCTCCTTCGCTGCAGTGTTGGGTCCAGCTGTGGTGTGGTTATCGAGGACCTCCACCAACTTTGATGACAAGACACCTCTGAACCCTGGAGTTGATACCACCACAGACACCACCATTCACACAGGAAGTCAATGAATGTGGGTTCTTATTTTCCTTGCAAGAGCAAAAGGTTCTTTAAAATCCTTCAGCCACCAGTGAAATCATCAGACAGGAGAAAATCTTTAGATGAGAGTCTTGTCATCAAAAATAAATAGTTGCATGGAGTGCTCAAGATCTGAACCAAACTAAAAACGGGAAAGCCGGGGGCCGAAACATTTTAAGAACCCCCACAACCATACCATGGGTCACTCCATGGGCTGAAGGAGGGGAGGGCAAGAGGCTTGGCCACACCATGTCAGAGCTGGAAGTCATGGCTGATCGGCTCAGATCTGGTTCTGATGACATGCAGAACCACGGGTGACACCAGAACTGGGTCTGAGGAGCAAGGCGCTGGGCCTACTTCTGCAGCTCCTTCATTCTGTTCAGCGCACTGCCAGCGCGGAACCACTCGATCTGGGTCTCGTTGAAGGTGTGGTTCAGGAGGATGGTCTCCTGGGTCCCGTTGGGATGCTTGATGACGCATTTCAGGGGCTGCAAGGGAGGAAGCAGGTGTGGGTGGAGTGGCTCTTAGGAACACAGCCCCCCGCCCCCCATTCTGCTGAGCTTCAGCAGGCTGGGCACCACCCTGAGGCCTGGGGGCCAGCAGGTGGCTGTGGTAAGACTTGAATGGCACAACTCCCGGGGCCAAGAGGGTCCTGCTGGGCATGAGGTGTTGGCCTGTGAGTGCCAGGCCTGGGCTAATGAGTGAATAGCAGGAGGGCCTGAGCTGACTCCACCCTCTTCTCTGAGAAGGCACTTCCTTCCTTCTGGGGTTGCCTAGAGAACTTAAGGGCCCTCCCAGCTAGAACAAAGGCTCATGGGAAGAGGTGCAAGGTGGCTGTCCCCTATTCCTCCCCTCAGCAGGGCCTTGGGGGAGATGGGTCTGCCAGCCCACCCTCCTTCCGTGGCCCCTGACCTTGCCGGGGGCAAAGTCCTTCAGGCCCTGGATGGTCAGCTTGTCCACAGGGTGAATCTTATTGTAGTCGGCTGGGTCAGCGAAGGTGAGGGGCAGCAGGCCCTGCTTCTTCAGGTTGGTTTCTGGAAGGCAGAGGTTGTACTCAGTCCACAGTGGGCAGGGCCCCATCCTTCTCTGCAGAAACCTCACCAGCCCAGAATGCTTCCTGTTTTCTAAGTCCAATGCGGCTCTGGGAGACACCCCAGCCCTACCACCTGGGGATAAACCTGGGGCAGTAACTAAAAGGCCCAGATCGGCAGCACTCCCAGTGACAAGGTGCCTTCGCTAGGACCCACACAAGTGAGCACTGGCGCCTCTCTCCATAAGGCCTTCCTTGTAGACATTCACCAGCAAGCAGGACAAACCACATGCCCTGGATGGGTCCACAAGTTTGGAAGCCAGACCAGCGCTTGCCTGAGATGGGAAGCTGTGGGCGTCAGCACATCTGATGGAAAGAGGCTGGTGGGCGTGGAAAACAGGAGCTGTGGGCACAGCCAGGAAACCTAGCACATGACTCCAGGCCCAACTCAGCCACTGGCAGGCTGGGTGACCTTGGGCTGCCAGTGAAGGGAAGTAGGCGGGGCTGGGTCCCAGCCCCAGCTCACCATGGATCCTGGCGAAGCTCTTGGTGATGATGGCCCGGCCCCCAAGGTGGCGTGGTTCCAGGGCTGCGTGCTCCCGGCTTGAGCCCTCACCATAGTTCTCATCTCCAATCACCACCCACCGGATGCCATGTTTCTGTCAGGAAAGGGAAGTGAGAGATGAGGGACAAGAGGGCACGGCCCCACCCACCTGGCCCTTGGGCTCTGAGGCTCACAGATGAAGAGGCCAGAGAGGCCCCTCCTCCCCAGCCAAGGGCAGGTGAAGGCAGATGAATCGGGTCCAAACCAGGCCCTGTCTGCAGTGGGCAACAGGAGGTGCAACCCACCTATCGGTGCCCAGCACGGAGGCCAGGGCGGAGAGCCATGGTGGAGCAAAAACCAGAGCAGTGGATGCCACTGGAGGTGACAGGACTGCTTCCATGGCACCGGGACAACAGCAAAGCTATTGGTGTGGGCTCCTGGGTGGAGAACACCCCTTCCTTGGACCACCTACTCTGCCCCACCCAGCCACCAGGAGGTGCAAGACGACCCCCACCAACTGCCCCACCTTGTAGTAGCGGGCAGTGTCAGGGACAGGACCAAACTCCTGGGTGACGGCATTGCGCACAGAGTTGGCCTTGCCGTTTTCGATGTTGATGGCACCAATGAGCAGGTTGTTGGAGATGTTGTCCAGGTGCCCACGGAACTTGAGCCAGGGGCCGGCAGCTGAGATGTGGTCAGTGGTGCACTTCCCTTTGACCTTGGGTAGGTGAGCAGAGAGGACAGAGGTTGGGGCGTGGCCCTTGAGTCGTGGATGAAGGGAGAAGCCCTCTGGAGGCAGGCCGCAGGCCCCTGTGGCCGGGACCCAGGAAGGGTGACGAGAATCAAGTGCAGCACACATGGTCTGCAGTCCTGGCATTGTCACACTCTGACCAAAAGGGCTCAGATCAGGCCATCACCCACCCCTCAACGGCCTTGGGAGTGAGATCTCCAGGACAGCACACTCAAACGGGACAGAGGCTAGAATGCGCGGATGGATGGGTCTGCTCATTCACACTTCAGGCCTAGGCCCCCAGTAAGATGCCCAGATGGTTAAGATTGGCTACAGACATGCTGGACAGAAGAGCCCGGGGATGTGTCTGGGTCCTGGGTGGTAACTGATCAGTTTCATCTATCACGTGGGCTTAATACTGGCTGTGTCACTGCCTGGAGACCTGTTAGTAAACACCATAAATTCATGTCCGACATGGGTCTGACATGACAAAGGCTTGTGTCTGTCTGCTCAGCTCCCAAACAGGCCACACCACTAATGCCCAACTGTGGGACCAGAGCAATCAGTGGCTTCTGGAGTGGAGACCTGCTGTGCTGGGTCACGTGTGCCCTTCTTGCCCTCCCTGCGTTCCCACCCACACCCAATGGAGGTGGCCCTTACCAGCTGCAGCCAGATGGCCAAGAGCCCCAGACAGCAGCTGGCCAGATCCAGCTCTGCCTGGCACAGGGGAGCAAAGAAGGGGACCCTGGGCTACAGATGCCCTTGCTTCTCTGAGGCCAAGCCTCCCTTCCTGCCCCCCCACCTTAACCTTGCCCTTGTCCTCCCCTGGGCCCATGGCTTTCCTGCTGGTCAGGGAAGGTTGCGCTGGCAGGCTGGGGCTGTTGGCCTTGTCTCCGTGTTGCTGACCTTGATAAGAATTTGCAGGTCCTCCAGGTCTTTGCCATCCCACTTGTCAAAAGGTTCCAGAAGCTGCAGCCGCTGGCTGGTGGGGCTCACATCTACCCGCTGCCCACTGCTGTCCTTGGGAGGGTGCTGGTAGGTGTCCTGCCCAGGGTCGAACTCCTGCAGCAGGGGACAGGGGCATGTTGGATGCCATGTCTCACAGAAGGCAAACTCCCCCATGCCCCAAGCCTTTCCCTCCCAGTGATTAGCGCTGCTTCACTCTCACTAACGGTGCTACCCCGGCCTGCCCAGGACAGGTGCAGCTGAGATGCCCAGGTGTTGGGAAGGAAGCGGATTGGCCACAGAGCAGCCGGCAGTGGCCTGAGGGCCCAGGCTGAGGCTGGCTCGCAGCGGCTCACCGCTCGGGGAAGCTCATCGGCATCCGGGGCCTCCAGCTTGAACTTCTTGCCGTCCTTGCCTGTCAGGAAGTCGGTCTCTGGGTTGAACTTGAGGGTGCCAGCAATGGCCAGGGCTGTGACAATCTGAAATGGAGGGGGACAGTTTGTTGGTTAACACCAAACACCACTCCATCTCCCACCCCAGCCGAAGCCTAGATCACAACTGAGAACAAAGCTCAGGGAATTTCCAAGGTGTCCACAGAGGCCAGAGGTGCAGGAATCTCTCTGGGACCCCAGGCCATCGGGCCTGCAGAGGACCGCTGAACCCAGGGCAATCTGGCCTCTACTGCTTCCCACTGGACCCACCTCAGCACCCACCTCGGGGGCAGGGCGAGCACTGCTGGCCTCTACCCTCACAGGTGTGCCAC